TGGTGCTACCGCAAACCTATTTTCTATTATACCTCTTCACCATGCAAACCTTCAAGACTTATCTCCTATTTCAGAGTTGTGTTTTTTTCTGCTATTTTAAGGTTGCTATTACCTGTTACCTAAAGTGAAGTTTTGAAACTGTTAAGCTCATACAGATGAAATCTGTTATTTGTTGAAATGAGGACACATCCTTTCATAGCATTTAGAGCAAGCGGATTATCACCGCAGCGATGAGCCACACAGCTCTGCTGCATGCTAATCTGGCCCCTATTGAAAAGATGTCAGCAGCGCACGGAGCCAGGTTTGTGAACAAAAGAAACTTATGTAACACCGCACAATCTGGGCTCTTTTACAAGGCTGCAAGGCCTAGCTGTGTCAATAGACTTTGTCTGTCAGGCTAAAGTGGACACTAAACAGTCTTTCTTGTGCTTGTAAGTGTCCAGTAAATGAAGATAGGAATTTTTAAGGAGTTTTGAAAACAGAAAAATATGATAATTATCCTGGACCAGCATCATCAATATTGATAACTGCCACCGGCAGCAAGTGGTTACGGAGGCAATGATGTAACAAAGTGTTTGGTAGAGGCCGCTGCAGCCAGCAACAGTGAACAGTGCTTTACTACATGTAGTTGCGTTTCCCCATGGTTGGCCCACTGTAATAATCCTCCTGTTAGTTTGCCTCATCCCAAACTACCTGATTCCCGCTTAAAAGACGTTACATTATTTAGGCAAATGTGAAGCTTTCAAATTAATATGCATAAGTACCAAAATCTCACAGGCATGCAGTCAAATGCATACACACTTAACACATGTACATGGACTTTTCTTATGTCATTAGTGTGATAACTTTCCTTACCATCTTGACAATCAGGGTGACAGCCTTGCCATATCTTCACTGTCTTGTCATCACTGCAAGATGCTAGTCTTGTTCCCGTTTTATCAAAGCTTATTCCCCAAACAGTTGACTCATGGCCTGCTAATGTATGAACACAGAACCAGTCGTCGTCTTCTTCATGGAACATTTTGATGGTGCTGTCATAGCTACATGATGCAAGAATCTGTAAATATACAAGTTCAAACCAGTTACTATATATATAAATGTAGACATTTCTGTTGTTTGCAAATGTTGACCAACATTTTGTACTGGTGGCCAAAGTTTGTAAAATATTCACAACTTTTACCTCAAAATGCACACTTTGCTTGGTCAGTGTTGTAATGGGACATGTTCTTCCTATTCAGCAGAACTATCTATTATTTCAGTGCTTTAATATTTCCATGAACTTTTTGGGGTGGGATGGATCATGCTAGGTGGGGTTGGTTTCTTTGTTTGCTGGGGTTTTTGTAATCATGGGCTCTGATACAGCAAAGGCACAGAATATGGTGCCTATAAAATGTCAACAAAGGCAACGCATGATATTCAGATGCAAAACTCAAAACATTTCCACAAAAAAACCCAGATTTATCTAAATCCAGAAAATAGGAATCATTTCCAAATCTTGCCTGCTCTTATTTCATAGAAAGAAGGACAGATGTAGATTTCAGAGTATCTACCTCCTTTTTTGAAAAGGTACACGTAAGGCATATGACAAAATACATGTGCATATATACACATGCAAGTACATGTATATATTTAGGTAGACCTTCCCATACAGTTGGAACCGAATTGTGAGGGCGTAACTTGGTAAAGCATGCAAAGTGGTTACCAGGTTAAGGGAATTACACAAGTGTTGAAATATAAACATTATGGGGAGCAACAACATCATAGGAGCAAGTTTTTGTTCTGAAACTTGGTCCTGACTTTACCAATAAAGGGGAATCATCAGCTTAAACACAGGGTTATAGGGACCACAAACATGTTGAAACATGTACATGTATGTTATGAGAACAAAGATATTATGGGGAGACAAATTTTTGTCCCATGAGATGAC